TTGCGGTTCGGGCGCGCGCGCGTGTCTGGGGTTGGGCGGGCGAGCGCGGCGGGGGCAATGGTTGTGAGGGGGTGTGGGCTAGGCGCTGTGGCTCGGTGCACGCGTCGCGCTGGCGCGGAGCGATGCGCGCTGCATTTGCGGGGCGCGGCGGGCGGTGGGGGGGGGGGAGGGGGGGGCGGGGCAGGGGGGGGGGCAGGGGGCGGGGCGGCACAGACGCGCGCTACCGAGGCGTCGGGATTGCGGCGCGCTGCAAGCGCATGCACGCGTTGTTCGGGCTGCGCGATGTTATGTCGCGCACGTCCAGGGCGCAGCGCTTCGGCCATGACGCCCAGAGTTCGGGGCGCGCGCGCAAGCGCGCCGCGCGTGGACGCGCGTGGGTTTAGGGTGCATCGCTCCCGCAGCGGTGGCGAAGCGGGCGCTGCCATTGAGGCGTGCCCCGCGCCGTCATTACGTAGGGGTACGCCAAGCGCTGGCATGCGCGCAGTAACTGCCACATGTTACATCATCGCGTTCCCGTCTAGCCGTCGGTACTATTCTTAAAACAAGGGTGAAAGGGGGGTTACGTGGGCTGCAAGCCGACCCGCACCAATCACGTCGTCCGTCATATCGTCGTGGTCCGAGAGCCGCCACCGCACCGTGGGTCAAGTTTTTGTGGTTGTCATTTGCCCCTGGCGCACCATACTTTCGAGTGTGTGGGCTGCAATGCAGTTTCAATTGACGGGGAGCCTCAACCTGGTCGTCACGGACCCGACGAAGCCACAGTCCTTCGAACAACGGATCGATGTTTCGCTCCCCTGTACCGTCCTCATCCTTGGCGCTCAATGCTCGGACCCGCCAACTCCTACAGAGGCCTGCTCTGAAGATTCAGGCGAACAGCGTGATGTGCCAGACGGTGGAAAGCAGAAGGCCCCACATGACGAAGCCAGCAGTAAGGTAGTTCGCATGTCTTTGGGTGACAGCCAATTTGGGCACTTTGATTCTGGTTGGAGAGCACAGCAGGCCCTGATTGAAGCCGAGTTTGCCATGGCAGGGGGGCGCCTGCCACTGCCAGCTGACGTAGGCACTGGTGATGAGCAGGCGCGCCGCAGTTCGCAGGAGTTTGTCCCTTCGGCTTTGTTTGCAGAGGCGGGCTTGGGCGCTGCCGAAGGCATCTCTGAGGAGAGCGTGCCAGCGGCATCTTGCACCAGTGCCGCAGGTGGCGCCTCGACGAGCGCGATGGCTGGGACGCCGCCGGCGCCATCACCGCAGAGGCGCACGCCCATGGCAGACGCATCTCCAGAGGACTGTGTCTGGATTGCCGATAGCCCTCGGAAGGCTGTGGCGCCTAACGCAGGGCTGTTGGCGCCAACCGAGTCTGGCCGCAGCCCAGCCTCCGACCCCAACGTTGGCGCGAAGACGCCAGCGAAAATGCTTGGCCCTTCGGTCGTTGATACAACGCCCTCGAAGGTTTTTGGCACAGGGGTCGGTGTTGCTCCCCCGACCAAGCGCCGTTGCCATGCGAAGGGAAGCTCGAGCGGGTCAACCCCAGGTGGTGGCCACGCGGTTTCAGAAGCAGCTCCCAGTGAGTTTGGGCGCGTTGGTGGCGACGCACACAATTCGCAGCCTTGCGTGCTGGGCGTGCTTGGCCATCAGCTTTCATCTGCCAGCCAGGTGCTCCGCGAATTTCAGACGGAGTAGCCAGCCTTGGTTCGGTAGCGGAGTTATCCAGGCAGCAGTGACTCGACGATTGGGCTGGCAGGTGCGACAATGACGACGATTGAATTGACGATGCCAGCTGTGAGGGAAGGAGGGCGGGCAATATGATTAGCGTGTCGAGGCAGCTGCATCTCTTGAATGGTTTCTCGCACGTGGGTTTCGCGTGAGCCTATTTGATTTGGCGCAAGTGGCGCAAGCGCCTGATTACCTTGAGGACTCGAGCGTCGCCCGACGCAGCCTGTTGAGAGCGGTCGAGGGGCCGCCGCAGTTCCGTGCAGCAATCTAGCACGACCGTGCAGCGTTTCCAGGGATTCTCGCTGGATGCAGCTGGACATAGCACCCCTCCTTTTGGGCATCGTCATCGTTCTTCCTCGCACTTCCCTCCGTCGCCTTTCCATTATTCCCTTCCCCTGCCCTCCAACGCCGCTCATCCTGCATCGCCCTTGCCTTTCTCACCCTTCGGCCTCGCTCTCGTGCGCGTCTACGCTCTCATCTTCATCGTCGCCTCATCCGTTCGCCGTTCTGGGGTCGCCCCTTCTCTCATGGACCGCCCTCCCCCTGCCCGCCTCCTCCTTCTCCGTTTCGATCGTTCCGTCTTTCGTTGCGTCCTGTCGTCCGTTCCGTTCTCGTGCGTCGTGCCGTCGTTCATTCAATATGTTTCCCAATTCAGCTTTTCGCAGCGTTTCTGCAACTCTGGAACGGGCCATCGGGTCGTACTCGAGCGTCGTATCGTCGCCGTCGCCCCCCGCTCGTAGCGCACCCCCTCACGGCCCCCTTGCCGCGCGGCCACTGGCGTCGTGGGCGGCGACCGCACGACAGCCCCAGCAGGCCCGCCGCCCCGCGTGCATTGCGCCCGTGCCAGAGGAGGACTTGGATGGATAAGCAGGGAGGGGGGTGGGATGAGTGGGAGGAGGATGGCAAACGGCAGGGGGGTCGTCAGGCGATCGGCGGCCAAGGGGGCTTGAAGGTGAATAAGGGTTAGCTGGGGGAATGGTGGATGGACCGACGTGCATGATCAGTCAGTTGTCTCGTGTTGCCACGGTAACCATCCCCCGCCAGTTGCGGACGTCCCCACCAGCCAATCCAGAAGCGATGCCCAGGTGGGTTGAACGGATGAGATACGCACGTGGACCTCATGGTGGAGTAACGTTAATGGAAGCTTTCGATGGGGATCTCGGGGGCCATCTTGGGGCAACCATCGGCCAATCTAGGGCACCGTGCCATGTAGTTCAGAGTTCTCTACTGTACCACTGGTGTTCTTTTAGGGCTGCCTCAAGGGCTTTGGGGTTCATCCTGGGGGCGTCGGTCAATAACTTGAGCGTCGTCCCTTCTGGCGCCCTTGGGGGGGAGGGGTGAACTAGCCCACTCGCGTGGGATGCATACAACGTCCTTGAGGCTATATTGTGTGATTATGGCGCAGCGTGGTGCCCTTCTTGCGCCACTCGGTCGGTCTTCCAAGCTGCGCCGGGGCCATCTGGAAGGTAGGCGGATCGAGTGGCAGTGATGGTTTGACAATTGCTCTATGATTCTGTGCGCGCCACTGCGCTGACATGTACGATAATGAGGGCCAGAGTTCCGATGCAGGGCCAACATTGGAAGACCATCTGACAGGTTGGAGGCACGTGTGGGCACACTGAGCCTCGAGGCCGCGCCAGGGGGTCTTGGAAGCCATCGCGGGCCTCTGTCGGGGGGGGGACTTGGGACAATTTCGGGCCACTCCTACACCCTGGAAGCCATCGGGGCCCTTTGTCACATGATGATGTGAGGCGGTGTTGGTGGATGCGGGTGCTCTTTCCGAAGGCAATGTAGTACCTTGTAGCTAACAGCCGAAGGCCCCATATGGCAACCCCTGGTGCCGACCATATTCTGACGCAACCTTCACGCTGCCCGTTGATTCAATAGGGGGCCTCGCCAATCGGTGAGGGCAGCTGGCGTGTGCTTCCCATCTAACTTCTGTATCCTCCCCGCGTTCCCCTCCACCCCCCTCCCCCTTTCACCGATGTGTCGCCCAACGGGGCGTGAGGTTTCCACTGTGCGGTCGGCATTGTTAAGTTGCCGTTTGGATTGCAGGCCGCTCAACGATTGGTCGGCATACGCCGTCGTGCTTCTTCGATCTCAACTGCCCTCCCCATAGCCATTTTGGCCTCTCGAGTTCCGTTTGAGAGCTCAGGTTGCTCCTGGTGCTTCGGCGGGCCAGTGCCAACTGCACTACTGCCCGCCAGCCTACTCCTGATCGTCCTTGCCATGGGGGGCAAGCGCGGCCAGCCGTCGGCCCAGCCCCGCGGCTCGCGCGGCGGCGGTGGGCGCGGCCGCAAGGTTGCGAGGGCTGACAGCGGCGATGCCGCAGGGGGCGCACCGTCTGCCGCGGCCTCGCTCTCGCGCGCTGCACTCGCGGGCGACAGCTTCGAGTGCGGCACGTGCGGGTCCACCGACGCCTCGCATCAGATGAAGGACGCGGCGGTGCCGTCCTGCGTCGCTTGCTTCGATCGGTACTCGAAGGGCTTCACGCAGTTCGGCTCCCTGGAGGTAGTCCAGGCGGGCGTGCAGGACGAGGACTCGCACATCTACGACTGCTGGCAGGAGGCTTTGAGAACCGAGTCTGGCGAGCGCGCGCACTTCTTCCCGACGTCCGTCGACGAGGGGCAGGAGTTCATTGTCTCGGTCGTGAAGCCGATGGTTGGCTTGAACCGCTCGCAGCTCATCTCAGACGTGCTTCACGACGAGCCAGAGAAGATGGGCATCAAGCTGCAGGACCTGCCCGACCACGAGGGGAACATCTACAAGGGCCTCCTGGTGCCCAACCCGAATCGCCCGTACCTGGAGTACGACGTTGCCAGCCAGGTCGTCGCCAGGATGACGACGCACAAGATGCAGCCACTTCAGCAGACGTTCTCGGCGCAGTCGGCGGGCACCTACACTTACGTGAAGAAGGATCGGTTGGGGGGGACATTGGGCCGCTCGCGCTCAGGTGTCCGACAGCGTCTTTTGCACATCGCCGTTACCGCGCCAACTTGATTTCGTTTGCCACCCAGCCCTCGCGGCCTCTTGGGGGCCTTGGCGCACCTCATGTGCTTATCCCTCTCCTGGCCCTCACCGTTCCACTTGCTGGTGCGAATGGCGTTGCACTCCCCCCCGCACGCTCTTAATTTGTGCCATGGTCATCGCCAAGCCTCCCTTGCAGCCTCCTTGGCCACCCCCCGCTGCCGCCACCCTTTTCACCCCAGGGGGCGACGATGGGGGTAACGGCCTGGGCAGGGGGCGCTGTCGGACACCCATGCGCGAGTTGCGAAGTGGGCCTCCTCAAGGCGATGGCGCAGGAGGGCAAGATGAAGACCGTCTGCGTCAAGGCGCGAACGGAGAACCACACACTCGAGTCGTTGAAGCTCAAGGGGGACCAGTACAGGAAGACGCAGGCCGAGGTCGCCGCGCGGGCTCAACACCTTGAGGAGCAGGATGCGAGTCCGTCTGCCAGCCCGAACGGCGCCTCGCCAGGTGGCGTGCAGTCAGCGGCCGCGGCCGCTGCGGGGATTGGCCCGATGCTGAACCCGAGTGCGATGGCCTGCTCGAGGACAGTCGTCACGGGCGAGGGTGGCCGCGGGCCTCGCACTCCAGGCGCAAAGCCACGGGGGGCAGCCAGGTCGGCGGCGATGTCGGCGGAGGGGAAGCAATCTGAGGTGGAGGAGCTCGTGGAGCGCCGCATCGCCGCCCTGGACGTGAACAGGTGCTGGTCAGGCACCGCCATGGGCCGCGAGCTCCGCTGGGCGAGGGAAAGCCACCAGACCATCATGGAGGGCTGCCCCAACCCGCGGGACAGCGAGGTGGCGGACAAGTTGAATGAGCACATCCTTGTATGCGACGCGATCTGCCAGCTGGTCGAGAAACCGATAGCAACGCTGCCAAAGGCCAAGCTGGAGAGCCTCCTGAAGGCCATCGAGGCGGGGGACGAGGACTTGCCATCGAAGTGGAAGCTGGACGTACTCAAGCTCAAGGTCCAGCGGTTGTTGTGTTGGGGGTTGCCCGAAAGAGAAGTTGGGCTAGGCCAGAGGCGCCGAGGCGGGCGCCACCCCGCTGACCCAGCCCAGTTTCTCTTGTTCGGACACCGCCCCTTAGCACATCCTGAAAGGTCGCCGAGTTCATCAAGATTGGCGACTTCGACGTGCATGAGTTCTTTGTCATCGTCGCACCGTGGGAAGTCCAAGCTGAAGTTGACATCATGAGCGACACCAGGTACAAGCCCACGCGCCCACGGGTGCTCACGTGCGACGGGAGCTTGTCGGACAAGATCGTTGCTTGCGAGGGTTTCTTTATGGAAACGTTGGCCCAGTTCATCCAGAGTGGCAAGGAGGGGCAGCTCAGCTTGACCAGATTCTGCATCAAGTGCCTCGATTGGCTCGACGAGAAGTGTCCTGATGACGAAGAGTTTGACGACGTCGTCTCGGCGATGACGACGTGCTTGAAGGCCACCTTGTGCATCGCCGACCCCGTGCGCCTGGAGTACAAGGACGCGCTGCTGGAGATGACGGCTGCGAAGTCGACGGAGGTTGGCAAGGCGTGCTTGCGCCACCTGAGCTTGGCGGTGAAGCGGTCGGCGCACTACGCAGCGCTCAAGGCCAATCCCGCCTTAAGCGTCCGAGGGCGGGTGTCCGCGCATGTCGGGGCTTTCTGGGTTCTGGTGGGGGGTTGGTGGCACAGTGGTTCCCCACAGCTGTTTCTGGTTGTCAAGCTGGGTCGGGGGCGGGATGTAAAGGTTGAGGCCCCCTGGGGTCTGGGACCGAAGTTCCTTGTGGGCCCCGCAACGGGCGACAGAGGGGGTGGGCGACCCGATCGCGGGCGGAGCTGCTTGAGGCCGCGCGCATCGAATGGGTTTCAGACCCTGCGCGCTCCCTCAACGGCGAACCGGCCCGCCATCGAGCCAGCCGCGCTCTCCCACGTCCAACTCGAAGCTCAGCCCACCCACTGTCGTAACACCCGCGCTGGACGCGGTAGCTTCGACGCGCGCGGACCCCATCCCCGAGTGGTGTAAGGCGGCTTCAGCACAGGATGAGTTCGACCAGTATTTTCTGAAAACGAGCGAGCTTTTCCCGCAGATGGTCCAGCTGATGGCGGCCATGGACGCGGCGACGGACATCAGAGAGGTAGAGCGGTCGGGGACTCTGAAGGCAGCGCTCGAGCTGTTGCCGAACGTCGTGACGTACTGTCGGCCAGGCAGCTTCGGCAACTTCAAGGAACAGGTGAGCGCGAAGTTGGACGAATACATTAACAGTTACTTATTTTGCGGTGCCCTCGCCGAGGCAGATGGTTCCGCGCAGACTTCCATGCTGGCCGATGCGAAGGCACTGGTCACCATCGCTAAGACCAGCATCTCAGAGAAGGGTTCATTGTGGGCGACGGCAATGGATAAGATCAAAGAGAAGGAGTCCGAGATCAACCAGTTCAACGCCAACAAGGGCTTGGCGCAGCTCGCGGAGTCCCTCGACGACGAGATCTTGATGAACCTCGATAGGCTCAAGGAGGTGCTCCCAGTGATCGAGTCCGTGCTGGCCGCTGGCGGCAGGGGCGTGGAGGTCCACAAGGATAGCGCTGCCACCATCTTCGGAAAGATCTACTCGGTGATCTGCCAGTATGTCCGTGCCCCGACGGAGGCCGCACCGCACCTGCACATATTGATGACGCTTACGGAGACAAATTGGTTGGCTGGCGAATCGGCGGTGAAGCTCGACAAGGTGATTACCATGCTCAAGGCTTGGGGCTCCCTCTCGCAGCAGCGCGCTCAGTGGGCGCAGTCTGGTAACGACGACGCGGTGCGGCTGATCAAGGATGGGTCGGCGAACCTGGTGACGAGCATCCGTTCTTCTGTCAAGGCGATGCAGTCCACTGGCTTGGTGGCAGAGGTGATCGGGGCGCAGTCGGACGTGACGGCGGCGACCGAAGAGATGAACTCAGCGGCCAATGTGTGCATGGCGATCGTGACCGATGCCATGAAGGCTGCGACGGCGGCGTTGAAGCCGTTCGCGACGGGCACGGAGGCGTTCGACCAGCCTTGGGACCAGGACCTGGCTGCGGACGCGGGCATGGACTCGGTTCTGAAGCGCGTGGAGGAGACGATCTTGCAGATCGACGGGGGCTCCTTCCAGAAGCGGATCGACGCTGTCCTCGACGCGAAGAAGCGCGCCGTGGGGTGGGCGCAGGTCTTCGAGGTGCAGCAGGACGAGGATGCGACCAAGGAGGCGGTCGACACGATGAGAGTGGCGAGCGCCACTAAGTTCACGGCGCTGGTGGTGCACGCGTTCAAGACGTGCGCTGGCCAGGCGCCGAAGATGCGCCGCATGGTGAACGCGTACCGCAAGGAGGCGGCGGAGGCCGACGCCGTCAGCGCCATGCGCCAGGACGTGGTGGAGTGGGCCGCGAAGCTGGCGTCGCTCAAGGGCAGCACCTAGGAGGAGTTCAGCTGGCGGTGCGACGGCGCGACGTCGCCAGCTACAGCGCTGGGATCAGCGCCCGCGAGGCTTTCTCGCCAGCGCTTGCGCGCAGCAACATGCCACCTCCTCCTCCGCGTATCCATGCCAATCCGCCCCGTTCTCATTCCCACCTTGTTGCCCTCAGCCTCCTCCGTGCCATCCTCGTGTGGCGCTCTCGCCAATGATTTCGCAGATGCCCGAATGATGTTTCGCCCCGTGCCCGAGTAGGAAGAGAAGGAAGATGAGGGGGAGAAGAACGAGGAGGAGGATGTGGATGGGGGGGGGGAGGAGGAGGAGGAGGAGGAGGAGGAGAAGGATGATTCATACAACATGGCATTGTTGTTACGAGTGACGCTTCGCATATATCTGCCAGCCCTTCCTGAACCGACCGCCTCTGACATCGGTGGCGTTGGGCCCAGTGCGACTCCACGACCTGGCGACCGTGACTTTGCATGCCTCTTTAGGGGGGGCCTCACTGGGGGCTACTTGGAGAGAATTGTGGTCCTCATGGACCATGGCAGTGGCATCGGACGCCATGATTGGGCTGTCTAGGGGTCATCTTGGGGCTGCGAGGGCGTTGCTTTCCATGGTCCTGTAGGTCAGCGGTTGGTCATGGGGTGGGGGCGTTGGCTTGCGAGCCCCTCTGATGCAATAGGTGGTTCCCTTGTGCTCCCCCCAGGAGTGCCCCTGGGGCTCATTAAAGACGCACTTCAAGTATTATTAGGGGTGTCTCGGGACCTCTCGGAGCCTCGCGCGGCGATCTTGTGGCCATCTGATCGGCGTGTTGTTAGGTTGCGGCAAACACTGTTGTTAAAGCCGAGTCGTTGCATCGGAGGGGCGCAATTCTCTCGCGCGTCCGCGCCGCCCCTTCATTGTAGTGAGAGCCCGCGCCACGTCGATAAGCAGCCGACCGACAATGGCCATGATAAGGTTGCATATTCGAATTGGCTTGCGCCTCGCCCGCCCGCGTGACCTCCCTGCCGCGGCCCGCCCGCCCGCCCGAACCGCCCAGCCTGCCCGCGTGGGTCCACCCGCTCAGTTGTTCGAGAGGTGATCCGCCTGTTATGACGCCACGCTCGTGCGGCTCGCCCGTTAGGGCCCGCCTGCCCGCTTGCCCGAGGTAGTGCAATCGCCAAGGGTATCGCCGCCAATTGCCCCGCCCAGGTTGTAACAGGAATTCCTTCAAGCAGCTTCGGCTTGCAAGATTCCCAACTCTGGCAGCTATAGCGCGCCGACGTCGGCGACTATCTGTTCAAACGGGGGGGGGGGTAGTTTTGCGCCTACTTTTTTCGGGGGTGGTACTTTGGTGGGTAGTTTGGTAGCTACTTGTTTGGGGTGGGTGGTACTTTGGAAGGTACCCTATTCCCTATCCATGTTGCTACTTTGCCTGTTTTCGCTTTCTCTTGCCTGTAGCAGGAACTGCCTTTCATAAGTCCTAAGATGGCAATAAAAATGCGCAGATGCTGGAAAACCTGCGAAAACACATATTACGGTCCATCCAGAAAATGTCCAGATCCTGTCCAGATCGCGATCCATTGTGAAAACACATACAGAAATGCGCAGACCCTAGATTCTCTGTGGAAAAAACACATAACGGTCCTTCCAGAAATTGCCCAGATCTTCGGGGGACAAGAAACAGTGCGAAAACACAGCAACAAATGCGCAGATCCGTCCTAAGATGCCAATAAATATGCGCAGATGCTGGAAAACTTGCGAAAACACATCTAACGGTCCATCCAGAAAATGTCCAGATCCTGTCCAGATCGCGATCCATTGTGAAAACACACGCAGAAATGCGCAGACCCTAGATTCTCTGTGAAAACATAACGGTCCGTCCAGAAATTGTCCAGATCTTCGGGGGGGCAAGAAACATTGTGAAAACGCAGCAAAAAATGCGTAGATCCGTCCTAAGATGACAATAAAAATGCGCAGATGCTGGAAAACTTGCGAAAACACATAACGGTCCATCCAGAAAATGTCCAGATCCTGTCCAGATCCGATCCTGATCGCGATCCATTGTAAAAGCACACACAGAAATCCGCAGATGTTGGAAAACCTGTAAAAACACATATAAAACACCATCCAGATTTCGTCCAGATTCCATCCAGATTTTGTCCAGATCCTGTCCAGATCCGGTGCCCCCCCCCCGCCCGCTCCCCTTCTGACTCACTCTCCCCTCCTCTCCTTCATCCTCCCATGCTGTCCCTCCCAGGGCTGACGGATCTGGGGGCATGAGCTTCCCCATCCCACATTGTGCGTTTGACCTGAGTGTGGAACATGCTCGGTCGCGCCAGTAGTTCGTTCAACCTCCCTCCCGTTTCCACGCAGCTTGTCTCCTTGCCCATCCCAGCCGCGCGTTGTCGGCGCGACAATACCAGGGTGTTTGTCTGTTGCGTTCGGGCATGATTGGGGCGCGAAATTCGGTGCGCATTTGGCACGTGCTTTTAGTCAGCTGGTCTGGGGCAGGTTAGCTTGGGAAGTAAACTGGCCCAGAAACTAAAACCATTCAGAGTATCATCGTGGGTCGAATGGGGGGGGATGGCCGCAGAAGGGATAACAGAAGAGAGGATGGGGGAAGAGGACAAGCAGGGAGGAGATTGAGGCGCAAATCTCCCGAGTTCTCTGCAGACCAGGCTGAAGCAGGTGCCCCTTGGGTGGACACCAGCAGGATGTGCTGCTGGGCCGTTTAGTTTCAGGGCTCTTGCTGGCCTCGAGCTCGAGGCAGAGCAGCGAGCCCCAACTCGGGGAAAAGTTCGGTGGCGTCCCCCTCTTCATTGGATTTCCTGCAGCCCCTCCCCGCCCGCCTTTCCCATCCCATTTCTGTCAGGCTTCTGCACCTGACTGGTCACAGTGCCAGGCGAACCTATGGCCGAATCAATCACGAAGAGCTGCTCAGGGAAATGGGGCGTCGAATAACGCCTGGGGGCAATGCATATGTTGCCTTTGTCCACCGTGATATGGAGGCCTGACCCCCCTCCCCCTCATCATAGCCCTCGTCCTGTTCTACCTCTTCCTTCTCTTCCTCCTCCCAAAGCGGCCCACAATCGCCATGTCCATGCAGGCCGCTCTGGGCTGGGAGGTGAGCCAGTAAATTTCAAATCACTCTCCTCGCCCTCCTCCCCCGCCCAATTGCCCCTCCTCCACCCGGGAACCCCTGGGCCATGAGCCCTTGGACCCCTGGGTTTGCGGACGTTCCATTAAGTACGCAATATTCTTTCAGTATGTGTCACTCCCTCCTCTTATACGATCATGCGCACCCCATTCGCGCAAGTCTCGCCTCGTTCGAAATGTCCATCTCTGCTCCACGGCGTCTGTCCGCACTGCCCCCTTTCGCGGTGCTGACTGACGCAAGAGCAGCTGCGTTAAAGACACGGGCAAACCACTTAGGGTCTGGCATCAGGAAGGCCCCCACAATCGTCTTCCTGATCTCACTCTGTTTCCTTAGATGCCTCCCCCTTCTCTCATCAAGCGCTCGGTATTACCCTTCCCCCCATTCTTCCCCTCCCTCACCCCGTCCCCCGTTCTCGAATTCACCCCTCCTCACCCCCATGCATCATCGTGATCTTCCCACTGTAAAACGTTCGAGTCAAGCATTAGGTTCCAGCAGCCTGCATGCATCAGACTCACAATGCCGCCAAAAAAAAAGCGAGGGCGCCCTGCGTGGGAAGAGGCGCTGTCTGATGGCAGCGAGGCGAGCTCTGCATCTGGGAGTGCGGCACCTGCAGCCGGCGCAGCATCTTGGGACCAGCCCGATCAGCAAAGCTCCGACTCAGAATCAGAATTCAGCTCGTCCACCTCAGCCGAGACAGACGGGGACGCCCGCGCGCATGATGACCGCGATGCAGAGGAAGCAGGCCAGATTTTAGTCGATCGATGGTTCAGATTGTATTCGGGGGGGCGCATGAGCGCGAAGGATGTTTGTTTGCACTGTTATCATGCACACATGGCTGGAGCAGCGGGCCCCTTCGCCCAGTATTCGATGAGAGAAACAAAGACACGGGCAATTATCGACAAAAAAGTTGGATCGAGCTTTGCGCATTTCAACAGATGTAAAACAGGTACAGGTGGGCGTGCCAACAATGAAAACAATCACGATAGGTGCATGACAGACGTCCTCATGACCCCTCCCCAGGAAGCCCTTGCATTTGAGTTTCTTGCATCTGCAGAGCTGCGGGGCCAATGTAGTAGAGTTGAAACGTCTGAAGATTGGCACGTCGCATGCGAAGATCATCCTGTCGTAGAAACTGCACGGGAGGCGGGGGAGACAGTGATGCCATTTGCTTTGTTCATAGACGGGGTGCGATGCACCCGGGCGATCGGCGTGGTGCGTCAAGATCAATTCGTCGGTTTTTTGCTGTACTCCTTCGTCAGCAAGAAGAGGCACCTCATCTGCATGCTGCGCAAGTCGCGTCTCTGCAGATGTGGATGCAAAGGGTGGTGTTCGTTTTTCCCAGTTTTCGCATTTGTGCGGTGGGCCTTCCTGGCCCTCGCCAACGGCCAACGGCCGACGGCGAATTGGAACGGCAGCCCTTGGGAGGAAGATCGCCATCTAGGCAGATTGCAGCAAGAAACCCTCGCCCCCCCATGCGCGCAGCACTCGTCCAAGTCAACTGGGATTGGAGCGAGTTCTGCCACAGCCTGGGCTTCCCCACATGGACGAGCAACTTTTCGCTATGCATTTTCTGCCAGTGCACGAAATCGACGTTATATGATTTTGGATCCACCACAATCGAACACCATGGCTGGGAATAACATCAGAAAAACTCGTATGCAGTCAGCTGTAGGCAATGTAATATCCACGTGCAAATTAATATTCGTGCTGATCTTGCAAGGTTGGTTGGAGGTTTGAAGTTCGAGAACAAAACAATCGCATGGGCGGCCGAATATGTGACAGACCAATGCAATTCGGGCAGCAGCGTGTATTGCGATTGGACAGGCTTGAGCCTTCCCTTCGTCTACGAGACCCCCATCAGCTCGAG